TAAGTGTGGCTAACATAAGTGTTTTGTTTGCAATTCAAAATGACAAAAAACAAGAAAACTGAACGTCCTATATGTTCAAGATATTTCGCCATGCTCAGAAATGTTCATCTTTCCGAATTGGAGTTCCTTGTTATTTAAAGCTGAGACCACCATCACAGTGATCATAAAATCTATGTTAGTCTCAGTTTAGAGGTGCGTGTACATGTAGCTTCGGTGTAGCTCATACCTCAAATACATCTTTCAGTATTGCATAGTTCATTAATTACCTACACTATTGGTAATTTGATCATTGAAATGTAATGAAGGAGAAAACGAGAAATTACGATTGCTAGCTGTAAATTATACTTAAGTATAGTTCTAATTTTTGTACAATCCATCCGAACAAACCATGGTTTTTTCAAGTGAATTGCCCATAATGATAAAAATATCAATCGAACAATTCGAAAAAATATGAATAGGGACTCCATGTCAACATTTTTTCAAAATGTTGAAACTATTTACTCAAAAGAGGATCTTCATTTCTGGTTTTCATTGAATGAAAAGATTATTCAACCGGGGGTCTTAAACTTCTTCAAGAGAAGAATGGTATTGAAAGTCTAGTTTTGAAGATATCCATTTTCGATGACCAAAGTTATGCTGAAAACAATGGATAGCACGAGTTTTCCCTATGGGAAAATAACACTGGAAATGTGTTTTTTAACTTCTCGCATTTCAATACCCATCCCGTTTTCAGAAATTGTTAATATAGTGTAGAAGAAACTTTCGATATGTTCAAATTGAGAAAAACAAGATCCTCTTTTTAGAAAATGAGCCTTACATTTAAAAAAAGTGCCAAGGTGGGGTCCTAATCCGGTGTAAAAGTGTAGGAGGTCCTATCAAATTATGGTCCTACTCTCCATTGATTTATATGGTGACCTAAATACAACTCTTTACCTCAATATCTTATACGCAATCAGGGCCAGTAAGGGCTGTTAAGAAAGGGGACCATAATCCCTGGGGGACCATAATTTCTTTCACACCAGCTTAATTTTCAGAGCTGGATTGATATTTTGATATATTGCCATGGGGACTTCAATTGAAAGACAAAGATTGAATAAAATACTCACTATTTCAATAAAAACAAATTGTCGTATCTAATGTTTTAGCATATCAAAAAGTTTGCAATCTAAATGACCTCATCATAACATCACTCAGATGGCAAAAACTTTTTTAATAAATTTTTTTCTTTGCAAATCTTTTAATATTCTATTCTTTCAAAATAAACCAACGTTGACTGGCTCACTAGGTTGAAAAGAAGAATAAGTTATGCTTTGGATATAACTGTTCCATTGGTCTCTATGAGAACTAAAATTTTAAAACACGTTTTTCTCTAAACCATTTTCATGCATGGACGAGTTCATTTCTCGATTATTTATCAACCAATTATCTTATTTTTTCGACAAAAGACCCAGGTGGATAATAGTCTCTGGATATAAAATGGAGGTCTGCGTCCAGTATTTCCAGTTGTACCAGGCGAAAATACTGGACGCGTTTCGATCCCCTGTTTCTATGTCATCACGATCAGATGATCGTCTTTCAACCACTATATTTTTAAAATACTTTTCAAGGTCATTATGACCAGGCGACCGTATTCTTAAACTAATTGATGATGTTTCACTTGTGACTTGTCATTTTAGTTAACAAGAAAATCTAATTTAAATCTCAAGGGTAAGGTTACAGGGCCGTAGGGAGAGGGGGTTCGCAGGGCTCGTGCGACCCCCCCCCCCCCCAAAAAAAAAAAATCTTGACAAAAAAAATCGAACCCACCTTTTCGGCAATTATGCGAAATTATTTGAGAAAGATTTGTATGTTGGTATCCAAAGTAATTTTATGGGAAGAGTCAAAATTATGAAAGATATTGAACTTTTTGTAAGTGTAACATTTTTTTGAGACACTCTGTATAGTGCTTGTATAAACGTGAAATGACCAGGTTTAATTATATCAACTATCATGAAGCAAATATCATGAAGAAAACAATGTCACAAAGTATTTTGGAAAATACTTCAGTGCTCGGGCTGAGTTGAGGACAAGCAAGACTTTAAGCTTGTAATGTTTTTCACAACTCAAACGTGAACGAAAAGTACAGTAATCAATACATAGCATTTGCTTCCGTTTTCTGTATGCCCCTCTTCCTGCTTAATAAGGCAATGTATCTTCAAATAAAACCTTAGCCAAGTAGATTAAAGTCTCTGGAACACTTTTGTAAATAGTATTCACAAGCAATTTTGATTGTGAATCTCAAATCTTGTCTTCCCGATTTCAGTCAAGAATTACGTCAATTTTGCGTGCAAACTTTGGGTAGATGTTGTTATTCCCAGACGCCCAAACGTGTCAGGAACACATAGATACTTGAATGATCTTGATTGGACATCAGGTTGCAGAGAAATCGTAATTTTACTGAGTGGCTTCACGAAAAAATAAAAAGGCTATACGCCTCGTTAACGCAATTATTTATCACATCTGACATACATTTTTGTGTGAATAAGCTAAGCATATTAGATGAATAACATATTTAGGGGTCATTGAGTAAGATTAAGGGTTATAATTATCTTACAATTTCAAGTTTACTGCTATTATGTAACCCCTACCCCTAATTTTGAACTGAGAAGAGACCTCTGAATCTGAAGGATATTACCTCAAGTTTTATCACAACATAGTTGTAATTAATCGTACCTTTATTCTATAACTTATATTTTTACAAAGTTTTATTGGATTGAAAACTTTTTAATGGTGTATTCCTCTAAACGTAACTAACAGTTTAACTACATGTCTCAGAAGATGCCCTTTTCAGCACATTGCTGGGTATAGGATTTCTCATATTTATGACGTCAATTTATGGTTATAAGTCACACTCACGATTTTGGGTTCTATTCAATCCTTTCTAACTTTTTACCATACTTACAAAATTCGTTGAAATTTTTTCCATATGGTCAAAATATACATACATTTTACCTCTGAATGTTTGGTGTGATAATAACGAAAAATAAAAAAGATATGATTGGTAAAGTACAGTTAACCTTTTATATTGTCTATTCATTCCACGATAGGAACCTGTCGTTTATATTTAAGCTTGTTGCTTTTGAAATAATTCCCTTGAACTTTATTTTATAACATATTGAAGGTAACCTAGAGGTCTACTTGATAACGTGCGTTCATATTCACTGATAGGTATGTATAGCATCATAATATTTTATATGTAAAGCAGATTTGCATTTATGATTATTAATATATAATATGACAATATAATTCCTATTATGAATTATAATATGTTCTTATTACAAAATATCATAATGTTATCATTATGAATGGTAATGTTGCTTTAGTAGAAAATATCAAATTGGCCTGGATAATCCAATGAGGCTAAAACAATCACTTATTTTGTAGATTTCGCGAAGGCGACATGCTTAGCAGCAATGCACAGGTACATAATCAGTCTAATTTGCCACTGGATTTCTAAAAAAAAGTATGATAGAACTGAGATTATTTCAAAGGAACAAATGGTTATAAGAAAAACAGGGAATCCTAAAATTTTTGAAAAAATCTTACTCCTCTATCACACCAATCACCTATCACTACGAACGGAACCGTCGTACTTCAATCCTACTAGGGACGTTTTAACAACGAGTTGCGCTGTCTGAGGACGTATTGAGAACGAGGTAGAACTAATTGCAAACGGGTTTAAACTGATTAAGAACGTATTTAACACTGCTTATGAACTAGTTAGCAAAACTATAGCTATCACACCAAACAAGTTGCCACTGCGTTCTTCAAAACTGGTTTTAAACTGTGTGCGAACGGAATGAACGTAGCTGCAACTTTCTAAGGTCTATTTACGAACTTCATGAACGTTCTCAGACGGGAAGGTGATTTTAGAATTTTGAATCGATTCAAAATTCGATGGCGACCATATCGTTCTGTAATCAGGTCATTATGACCTTCTAGACCAAGGGACGCGTTATACGACGTTGTACACCGACGTGGTGCGACCTGAACGAACTGCGAATGAGATGGACGTATTGAAGACTGTTTACGAACGAAGTAGCTAATTATTTTAGACATATTTCCCGACCACAGCCAGATTGAGCCCGTTTACGACGTTTTCGCAGGACTGGCAAGAACGGGTAAGAACTAGTTTGGTGTGATAGGGGGGTTAAGAAAAGATTTACCGAAATTGTATTTTTCTAGTGATATTTTCGCTTCATTGTTTCGAATTAATTAGATACACCTTGCATGTAGGCAAAAAGGTAGCACATCGTAGTTATGAAGTTCAACATGATAGTAAAATGATACTATTTAAAATATAAAAAGTTTACTAGGACACAAAGACTGTTTTTAGAAATCTGAGAATAGTACGTATTAACGTTATATTACAATAAGCCTGTATATCAAAGCACCTCTCTAATCCTAACACCCCTTTTTGAGAATATCTTTTCTCGGTCCCAGCTTTGTTGATTCTCATTGACTCACATATGAAAAATTAAAATGTGAATGCCTGTTACTCATAACAGTACTGACCGGTCCCAATGGAGTTCAGATTAAGGAATTTTAGCGAGGTTTGATTTTATATAAAAAATCTTTTAAACTGACGTAGATAGAGTTATAAAGAATGTTGTTTAGAAGTTAACTTATAAAGCAAATGTGAATAATGCTAATATACAGCTGCATTCGTTTTTTATGTTCAGAATGAATTACTCCACCTGAAGGTGTCTTAAACCTTTTTTAATTGAAGAAAGATAAAATAATTCTGATACATGTCAGTATGACTTGCCAATCCATCCGGATTACAAATAATAACATGATTACATGACAGTAGGATAGCGGAACAGCCACTTCGTTATTCCATTTGATAGTGTGTGCAAGTATTTAAAGAAAACATTGCCAAAGTAAAAAATCTAAATAAAAAATCTAATAAGAATACAAATTTAATTATAAGTGGTTTATATGAATCCGACGTTACTTTGCAGATGATTGTGTCATTGGTGATTTCGATTGTCTTATCATTGTTCCCATCGTCTGCAGAAGAAGATGGCGAACGGCGCATCCAGCAGAGATATGTTAATGTCAAAACAGTTGCAGGGCTTTTACAAGGAGAGATTGTCGATTATCCCGTAGAATACCCTGAAGGTAATAAGAATGTTATAACAGTCACCCAGTTCCTTGGGGTCCCTTATGCCAAACCTCCTATTGGTGAACTCAGGTGGAAGAATCCACAGAAGGCTGAACCATGGGAGGGAGTGAAGAATGCTACAGCTTATGGAAACAGTTGCTGGCAAAATATCAAGAATATACTTGTACCCACTACTCCTATGTCAGAGGACTGTTTATTCCTAAATATCTGGGTCCCGAAAAACATAACAATGAAACCGAAATTTCAAAATCTTACTGTTATGTTCTGGATCCATGCAGGAGCATTTCAGTTTGGCACTGGAAGCCTCGACATCAATAACGGGGCATATTTGGCGCATGACCAAAACATCATTGTTGTGACTATCAATTATAGACTAAATTCTTTTGGATTTTTATCTACTGAATCAAAACCAGATGAAGGGAACTGGGGTCTGAAGGATTGTGTCTTAGCATTACAATGGGTTCGGGATAATATCAGATCATTTGGCGGAGACCCTAATTCTGTGACCATATTTGGGGAATCTTCAGGATCAGCGGGAGTGACACTACTGATGCTTTCAAAGCAGGCAAATGGTTTATTCAAAAGAGCTATTGGACAAAGCGGGTCAGCGTTGAACTATTGGGCAATGAATCCACGTGGCAGAAATCGTAGAATCCAACAAAGCTTGGCAAATAACCTCGACTGTCCAGTAAACAACAACAGCATGGAGTGCTTAATGAACAAGAAGGCCAGAGACATTATCATTGAAACTGGCAAAATACAATATCAGCTATCAACTCTATTTGTACCAAATGTAGATGGTACATTTTTTCAGGATGACCCAGTGAACATTCTTATAAATGGTGATTTTGAAGCAGTTGATTTCATAAATGGAGTGACAAGTCACGAAGGCTTTCATTTCGGAGTAGCGATGACATCGAGAGAAGATATCGGGTTAAGGTACAACTTTTCTCAATTCAATAATACAGTCTCACGATTGATGAAATTTCTTAATCATGTCAAAAACAGGGACGTTATACAACATGGAATTAATCTGTTGTATAACAATTTTAAAGTTCCTGATGATGTCAAATCAGTACACAGAAGCAAGGGACTTGTCGACTTTATAGGAGATTTTGCATTTAATGCGGGGACTCATATGTTCACAAAGTTATACCAAAAGAAATCAACAAAGAGGACTTTCTGCTACTATATGAATACAAAAGTATCTAGGGATTTCCAATACATTCCGTACATACATAAGCGCCCTGATTGGGTACACACAGTGCATGTAGATGACACACAGTTTGTCTTTGGAGGTGTGAAGTACACAAATAAGAGAGTTACTCGGGAGGAAAGGGAACTAAGTGGTGAAATGATGATGGCCTGGGCTAACTTTGCAAAGACAGGGTAAATATATTCATACATTTTCCTTATAATGTGCTAAATTTGAATTTAAAGCACTTTTTTCAATTAACCACTTTTCTAAAAAGTTTGAAAGGCAACTTCCAGTAATTTCAATTCTTCAATTTCTCTAATTATCACGAAATTTATTTTAGGGACCCTACAGAATCAGGTTCTCTACAATGGCCAAAGTTTACTGGCTCCAACTATCTTCAACTGTCAACACCTGTCAGTAGCAGCACTGTCATTGAGAGGTTCCTACCTAAAAGAATGGACTTCTGGATTAACTTTATCTGGAAGAAAATAGATATTCCATCAAAGAAATGTGTCAATGCTAGCACAGAAAAGTCTGGTAAGTGTGCAACAAATACAAAGTGTATTAATGTATTTCAGTAAAAAGGAAGCACCTCTTTTTTCATTTGGTATAAAATGATGAACCGTTTTCTTGTAATCTAGGTACAAATATTTGTACCAAATTGAAAAATGTAAACCAAGTGAGTTGTGAAATGATTTCTTTTAAAACGTGATTCCAATACTCAATAACCTTAAAGCGACAGCCAATCAGGCGATGGTGGAGTGGGAATATCCTGTCTACTTATATTAATTTTCCTTTGTGATAGAGTTGAGAAAAATAATGATGTATTCATATCTGTTACGAGAGAATCCCACTTGCCACAGCCCATTTCTAGCTCATTCTTACCTGAGATTCTAGACGAAAGGTATCTAAAATTCGAATAACATTTATTTCCACAATAGTGAGCCGCTTATCCTTATTATGACTTGCTAATTGAGACATCTTATAATTACGTATGTTGTAGATGAAGATATCTGCCCAGTTTGTCTAAATGAAGTTCCATTTGATATTATTGATATCGTCTGCAAGTCTAAAAATGGTAAAATAAATGTTTTTTTACTATATTAAATTCATTAATTAAAATTAAAAAGTAAAATTTATGATGCTATAAATGTTAGGCCTAACCGTTTCAATGTTTAAAGCAACTCGTCATTTAAATAAAAGTAATATAAAATTACGTTATTTCATTTTATTTCCCAAGCATTTAAAGTATCAATACTCGCAGTGAATATAATGAAGATTGAGCTGGATCTCAGACCAGTGACAGGTAGATCGAAGTTGGACAGATATGTAACATACAACCTGGATTCAGACTGCACTTGCGATATTGTTACAAAAGGTTTAAAAGGTAAACGAAAGCTTATATTATGTAAAAATAACTTGTGATACGTGTTCATTAATATAATTTCTTTCCAAAAAGGATCACTTATGTCAGAGATCCCTTGCCTTTCTAGTGTTTTTATAACCCCTGTGATTTGCCATATATGGTAAATGACCAAAAGTGTTCTCATTTTGATAATACTTGATGACATCATTTCCAAGGTTTCACATTTTGTTTCAGCTCAAGATGACAAACTTCTCATCCTAACCATGGCAACCATTGGCAGTTTACCAAGCCTATATTTCAATGACCAAGTCACTGTTGTCAAATTAGATAACAAACTGCAAAGGAAAATATCGAGGGCTATTACAGAACAGAAATGTCCTTATTGACACTACAGATTCCTAGACAGATCTTTCCCCTTGATAGAAAACGCCAGTATAAAAATTGGGTTTACGGAAAAGACCGACCCCACCGACCACCGACCGGTCGGTGTTTTCCACTGGTAGCCTCAAAACAGGGTTTTCGTAAAACACCGACCACCGACCAGTCACTCTCCACAGTTGGGTACATGTGGTCGGTGGTCGGCTGACGGTCTTTTACATAAAGATGAAAAATGCAAAATTAAAAGTAAAACTAAAACTGGGAATCCAATGACTATAGTACCTTTACTAGGTCGTGATTTAAAAACGTATAATTATCATTTCAAATCACGATGAAAACGTTACATCGTCGTGGTGTGTAATGTCATATTTTTAAGTGATGTTTCAGTTGTTAGAAGACCAATTTCATCCTGGTTAGTCACTTTGGAAAAAACGCACGTAACATTGCATTAAGTTCATTCTTCATTCATATGAAACGCAATAACAAAAACACACAAACATCGTCGATGTTGACGTCGTAACGTTATGTTTAATTTCTCAGTTGTTAAACGTCAACTGGTAAAAATTACATTTGATATGACAAAAAAAGCTTTCTAATGGTGTACTGAAATGGTAAGTCACTTTTAATCCCGATAAGAGAACGCATGTAACATTATATCGTGTTCAGTATTCAGTAGGCTATGACGATAACAAATCATTTTTGTTTCGAAATTGTTAAATTTCAGTAAAAAATTAGGATAGATTCCCGTAGAAACGATAGGTTGGTTAATGATAGGTTAGGACCTAAGGCAGGGCAATTAATCGAGAGGAGACGGTCATGACCAATTTGTTTGCTTGCCATTCGTTGCAAGGTACAAAATCGGTAAAAAACGTTGCCTAGTCCAACGATTGACATTCAAAATCAAATTATTAATATTCTAAGGCTACAAATATGTTCGGTCTTTTACATGATATGGTCGGTCTTTTACACATTTTCTTCAAACCCTGTTTTGAGGCTACCAGTGGAAAACACCGACCGGTCGGTGGTCGGTGGGGTCGGTCTTTTCCGAAAACCCAATTTTTATACTGGCGTTTTCTATCAAGGGGAAAGATCTGTCTAGGAATCTGTAGTGTCAAATAAAAAGCATATTTTAAGGCTCTTTTCTTCCTCTATCGTCATGACCATATTTTCACTGGTTATGGGGGGGGGTGCGATCGCACCATCGCACCCTCTCCTGGCTACGCCTATGACATTGTAAGACATTGAAACTATTGAAAATAGAGTAAAATTGATTTGCCTTGTTATTCAAATCGTCTTACAATGTCATTGGCGTAGCCAGGAGAGGGTGTGATGGTGCGATCGCATCCCCCCTCCCCCTTCATTACCAATGGAAATATGACCATGATGATAGAGGAAGAAAAGAGGCTTAAAATGCTTTTTATTTGAAGCTTCTAGCTCAGTTTTGAAGGAAGTTACATACATTTTTGTAAATTCAAAACAAATCTTACACGTTTTCTAATGATCTAATTATGTTGTATATTCTTATATTTCGTTTTTTGGGTACCCGGTTTTTTCGACTGGGTACCAAGTTTGGACCCAGCATTGAGGATTTACTACCCGGTACCCGGTTTTTTCTACAAACCCTATCTAGAAAAGTAACCTCATTCCCTATAATTTGATGTAGATTAATCGAACCCCTATACCATGGGCTTTCAATTGAAAGCCCATGCCTACAGTATATGAATAGGTACATTTTGATATGTAACATTATGGGCTTTCAATTGAAAGCCCATGCCTACAGTATATGAAAAGGTACATTTTGATATATAACATTATGGGGGTAAGCGTTTCATATATAGTTGGTCACGCCGCCAGAAGTGCAAAGTATTGTTCCAAATTTTTGAATTTCGTGTTAGATTACGATACTCACACCTGAAGCATGGTTTTTGTTTTTGATAAATTACAATAAAGTTTAATAATATTTCTATGCGTATTTTGTGAAGTTATGTTGACGTTTATTTAAGTTACAATGTAACGGTGCATTATATTTGATTAATCAGTATCTGAAAGTTTGATTTAAGTACTTTTACACGCTTTTACATTAGTCCAAATCACGCAAATCCCTTGAATGTCCGGGGACATCCTGCAAAATTAGGTGGATGTCCCGCGAAATCCCGCAAATTTAGGGCACTTTTTCTAGAAAATCTGTCCCTCTATGAAGTTTTTGCTGGTAAACCTGTTAACTGTCCCGCAATTAGGGTGTTTGTCCCTCGAATGGTCCCGCGAAATCCCACGAATTTGATAAAAAAAAAATTGGCCTATAAGCGCAATCACGCAAATCCCTTAAATGTCCCGCGAAATCCCGCGAATTTAGTAGATGTCCCGCAAAATCCCGCGAATTTTGGGCACTGGTTCTAAAAAATCTGTCCCGCGAGAAAATCTTTGGGGGTTGACAGTACTGAAAATAACAATAAAACGCCTCTGTCTGTTTTTTTATTTGTATGCTCAATTGTAATATGAGTAGAGCTGCTGAGAAATGAGTTAATATCTGTAGTCAGATAGAATCAAATATAATATGTGAGTGTATTGCACAGTTACAGAGTGTTGCGTTTGCATATATTTGAACATAATTTCCTCCCCGCAAAAGCGGTGCTCATATGCAGCGTTCCTCTTTTTAGATATTTGTGGTCTAGTAAACACAGGTTGAGGTTAGCATAAAACTCGTTAAAACACCACATATAAATAAATTAAATACAATCACATTCACCTCAAAACTCACCTCTTTTGGCACAAACTCTTTGTAACTCATTCTTACCTGAGATCACAGAGAAGAGATAACTTAAGTTATAGTGTTTGGTTTTATTTTTCCAAAATAGTTGGTCGCTTACTGGATTATCACAAGCATGTCAATTCAGAGATTTCAGGCTTAAAATAATTACTTGTGTTGTAGATGAAGAGTCAGATCAGAGTCGGTAATTAGCATGATTTGGCTAACAAACTGAACAGAAGAACTTTAGTTGTGTTGCTTAATTGAGGTTCATACTCAGACTCTTTCTCAATATACGCCCCTCAGCACCTGGGTTATATTCTATATTCACTGATAAGTCTTTACAATATCTCAAGTTTTATGGTTTTATTACCTTTAGTTGAATAGGAGCCTTATCAGCGAAGATAGATCAAAGGAAGCAAATATGCTGTTTCATAACCTTAACTTATAGAATATGATGTAGAAATACAAGTTGTTCTTTTATGTCACAACAATACTCCCCACTTCGCTATGGTGAGCTCCTGCGAGCCTCAATGGAAGGGGAACTTTTGGTATGATTTCTCTAAGGATATGAGGTGCTTTGGACACGCATTAATTTATTCTTAATGTAATATATATTTTACAAAGTCACAAAAATTTAGTGCCATGTTAATATTCTTTTAAAAAATCTAAAATAATGAAATACTAAGTCTTAAACGAATTCAAAAAACTGTAGATTTAACGTATCATAGATGTTTTGCTTTTTGAAAATTAAACTCAACTAACAGAACCATTGTGCCTTATAGTATTTTAAGTCCTTAGTGTTCATGCACCCTTTGTTGGTCACAAAATATCTGCTTTGTTGTTGTTGCTGTTGTTGGTATCTTCTTTTGGCACTAGTAAACAGTATTAGTACGCAGTTGACATGTACAAAACTGAGGAAATGTAAGAGTACATACCAGCTGTTTTCCTTTCTATGAACTGAGAGTAAAAAATATAATCTAATAAATTAGGAAAAATTATAAGCTCTGTCACACTTTTGTTCTTCCTGCATAACCATAACGTTTTTATAATGGTGAATACTTTAACTTCTCAACATGAACTAGATATATTTATATATAGCTTGCACTTTATATTTTCCTGTATGCCTAGATCTATATAGCGATCGGGCCATAAGTTAAATATTAATTTCCACTTAGGTATTATATTGTGGAGTGCAGCCTATTATTTTTTTACTGTTGTTATGTGTTCTTATTGTTGAGACTAAGAGATACGATTTAAAATCTTATAAATAAATGCTGCAGTATTTATGACACGTGCTGAGAAGCTTATTCCTCTACAAAAAATGACTTGTTTCGTTTATTTTACAAAATGTTTTACAGCTAGTAGGTAACTCTTAGATATTTCTTTGTTTTTAACTTGTTTACTTAAATGTCCGACGGGTTTCTGTTAGTATTTTTTCATTTCTTTTACAAAAAATATTACAATCATGAATTCTCAAGTTGATTTATATTGGCACTTTACAATGTGTTATATACCTTAACTATAATACCAATATATTTATATGACTACTTTAGTGGTTATAAATGGACCCCACTTGACAACTTTACAATCCACCAATTAAATTTATTATCTAAACCTGTTCAGGTTTTAATCTTTTTATCAATTAAATTTGAAATATGCGCATATTTTCTAAACTATATGTGAGACAATATGTGCTTTCACAGTACTGAAAAACACAAAAATTGTTTGTTAATTAGATATTAGAGTGGAAATAACTTACTTTATAACTCTACAATTTCAGGCCATATAACCTTGCAAGATTTACAATCATGGTAACATTTACTTGTTTCAGTTAAAAGCGGAAACTGTAGAGACCTTAAGCACTAGTCTATTTTTACCCCAAAAATATGTGTTAGGACACTTGTCCTTTAACAGTTAATTCAGTTTTTTTATATAATGCAATTGGTCATATATATAATTACGCAAAAATATTTAAAAAATAGTCCACTTCTAATACACATATACACATTTATACATTTTAACAAATACTTTCTCATACACATCCAGAATACAGACTGTTCACTCGCATTTCCATCTACATACACATTTCATATACACATTTTCATATACATGTTCCATATACACATTCTCATAGTATCATTAAACTGGATGTGATAGGTTTTATGTATAGCCTTAAGGAAAACAAGAATGGTATAGGCTGTGTAATGCAATGCAAATTGGGGTGATCAATTTTAATTTTGAGGGGTGGCTTAAAAGATT